CTTCTTTTTCATTCCTGGCTTTGGTTGTTTGGACTTCACTCTTTCTTAATTTGTCTTTCTAGCAGCTTAGTTATTTAAATTTTTAAATAAAGAACCAACTCTGGGTATTATTGATTTTCTCTTTTATATTTGCTATTTTATGAGTTTAGCTCCTATCATTACGTATTTCTTTCTTTGTACTTTTTTGAGGGGTTAACTTACTTTTTTAAAATATTCTTTTTTGGGAAGGGTTCTTAGATGATCAATTTCCAGTCCTTCTTTTCTGTCATTGAATTAAAAGTATACATATTTCTTTATGCATAGTTTTAAATCCATACCAAAAGCTTAGAGAGTTATCATATTATATATTATTATATATTTGGTTCAAAATATTTGCTAAGTTGTGATTTTATATTTGATTTGAGTGTTATTAGAACTTTATGAATTTCCAAACATACAGAGATTTATAACTATCTTTTATTATACATTAGAACCTCATTATTACATATGGCAAGCAAATACACTGTCATCTTAATTTTTTAAAATATGTTGAAACTAGGGGCTGGGGATTTAGCTCAGCAGCAAAAGCGCCTGCCTGGCAAGTGCAAGGTCGTGAGATCAGTTCCTGGTACCAGAGAAAAACCCAAAAAAAAAAAAATATGTTGCAACTTACTCTATGACCCCAGATATAGTAAGTTTTAAATAAATAGTTTATGTGCTCTTAAAACAAATTTATATTGTGTAGTTGTTGGGTTTAGTGTTTTATATGTGAAGATTAGGTCAAATTAATTAATAGTGTTTAAAACTTTGATTTTTAAAGAGATTTTTAAATTTTTAGGTGGGTATGGGGACATATGCCTGTAGTTGCAGCTACTCAGGAGGCTGAGGCAAAGGACCACAAATTTGAGCCCAGCCTGGGCAACTCAGCAAAATTTGTTCTCAGAATGAAAGATTATAAAGGGCTGGAGAATGGTACGGTGATAGAGCTCTTGCTCAACATGTGTGAAGTCTAGGGTTCAGTTCTTAGTATTAGAAGGAAAGATTTTTTATTTTTAAATATAACAACCTTCAGAAACTCACATTAATGTACAGTCTAATTAATTTTTATAAGGTGAACATTTTTGTAGCCATCACCATACTGCCCAAATAGAATCTGATAATGAAATCTTGACTTTTATGGTAATTACATTTTCATAACTTTATTATCCAAATATAAATATCTAAACTCTTGACTCTTTTTAGTTGTACTGTTTTGATAATTTATCAAATCTCTCTCTTTCCCTCCCTCCCTCCCTATTTGTTTTTTAAAAACCAGGTCCTGTACAGTTTCTTACAGTCTAGATTTTTCTGATTACATCTGTATTTCCTGTAAATTGCTAATTGGAGC